GTCGAGCAATGACGAGTGCAAAAGAACTTTGCTTGTATTAAAGATAAAGAGATTACATTGAATAACCCCATTTGGGTACAAACTCAAGTTCATAAAAATAAGGAATAGAATAGATAACAAGATCATGAAATTTAGTCCAACAATGGTCAATGAATTTCTGCTCTTTCTTTATTATATCTTCTATTTCTTCAAGAGTTGGCTGCATGAGCTGATGTGCTCTCACTTCATAATAGAGCTCTTCAGCCTTTATTTCAAAAGCCTCCTCCCTCAATCTTTGTTCCAATTCATCTACGATCAAATCATCCCAATATGCAGAATCTTTATTCTTGAAGTCGTCGAATTCTTCGGTGAAGTTTTCTGCTTCATACTGGGCCTGAATTCGCAGAGACGAAAGTTGGTCTAAAGATTGCATAGTGACCATGGAATTCCGATGCCAATAAAGGAGCACTGGAAGTTGGTCCAAAAACAAATGAAGCTCTGCTTGGGCAAGAGGGTTGAGGACATAACCCCTAGTCAGGACATCACAAGCCCATCGAAAGGTCTTAAGAGGAATGTCATCCTCAAGAACATTATTTGTTTTGGAAAAGGTACTGCAATAATTATGAGAGAAGTCAAAAAGTCTTGTGGTTAAGAGAAGTTAATAAATGCTGAGGTTAATTTTTTTTTTTAAAAAATAAAAAATTTGAAAATTAGGGTTGACATATTGGAGCTCCCACAGGCCTTGGGGGTTAGAAACCCTCTTTTACTTAATATATAGTATAGATAGATACCAATGCACTCATACATTTGAAAATAATGTAACAATTCAGTCCTTCTGTTAGTTGGTTAATTCAATGAATAAGGGAACTTCTATTTACACCCCATTAATTATCTCAAGACACACCGTTACTTAATTGACACCTGAGCAATTTTAAAGTTTAATCAATACACACCCCAATATATCATCTTTACCCTTGAGATGTACACACAATCCTAATTAATTTAGTACACGAGTAATGTTAGAGACTCAAAATTTCATCAAATTTTTTACAAACAACAATGATACAGAACTCTAATTTTAGAGCCCTAATGATGGGCAAAAAAAAATAAAAAATAAAAAAAAATAGACACAAACAGATGGGACCCACCTGTTTAGAGCTCTCATAGAGCTCAGCAATTAGAGATCCAAATTATTTTTCTTTTACAAAATATCTCATATTTTTAGCGATGATTATACACTGATCTTTATGCGGCTAGTTGAGTAGAGAAAGCCGAGGAAGAGGAAAGAGGATGGGTTGAGAAAATGGGGATTTGGCCTCAGAAACAACAAAAGTTATTATGAGGAATATATTTTAGTTTGTTACCACGTAAAATTATATATATATATATATATAACTATACTATACCAATCATTTCTATGTTATGTGTTTCTAAAATGCATCTAGTGATCATGATTTGCATAAGATTTGATTTTCCTAAATTTAGCTCAAAGTTTGATATATTATTTAAAAAAAGGACACGTGGCAGAATAAGGGTATTATTGGAAAATAATTTTAAGTCTCCAATCCTGATCGTACACGTGGTGATGATAATTGGTTCTCGCATGGTCTGAGCAACATTGGATCAGTAAAGAAATGCAAGGTGACGTGGCTTCAACGGTTACTCATATTCAAATTCAAATACAGGAGAGAAGCCTAACTGCAAATGGTGGCATAATGGAGCTACTTCTAAGGCAACATGATCAGCGATCATGGAGGGGCAGTTCGACGGTTCGAAGAGCAGTTCGAAGGTCATCTTTGACAAGTATAAATAGCAGAGAGACCCCCAGGAAAAGGGACGGAACTCAGATCATAGATACCAGTTTTTATTTCATATTTTTACTTTCCAGTTTTACATTCCTGTACTTTCAATACCTGCACTTTACATATCTGCACTGCACTTCAATTCATAGGAGTAGTCTCAAGTAGATTCAAGTGGACTGTTGCTGTAAACTTTGGACTATTGTAAGTTTTTCATTTTGATGAAATACTTCCATTGTTCTTCATATTAATTGTTATTTCTCTTAATTTCTCCTAAGTCGAGCCATCAGTAAAAGTCCTCTTCATTGAGGCTGAAAGAACTAAAACACAATCGTCTGGTAATTGGTTGGCAATCACAATTTCTGTAAGGACTGATTGATCCTTGCTGGCACGCTCACATTTACAAAAATACCCTTCGAAAAACCAAAAAGCCAACAATAGCATTACTGACATTTTTTTTTGTGTGTGATTTCTTCTAAAACAACCCTTCAACACGGAATTGATAAATTATTTCGCAACAACCACGTTCTTCTTCTATTTTTTAAAATTTTATTAACAAATAAATTATATCCTAACAACCACTTTACCCTTGTTCTTCTATATTTTAAATTTTATTAACAAATAAATCATATCCTAACAACCACTTTACCCACGTTCTTCGTTTATTTTTTAAACTTTATTAACAAATAAATTATGTCCTAACAACCACTTTACCCACGCTCTTCTTCTATTTTTTAAATTTTATTAACAAATAAATTGTATCCTAACAACCACTTTACCCGTGTTCTTCTATTTTTCAAATTTTATTAAAAAAATAAATTATATCCTAACAACCACTTTACCCGTGTTCTTCTATTTTTCAAATTTTATTAAAAAATAAATTATACCCTAACAACCACTTTAACCATGTTCTTCTATTTTTTAAATTTTATTAACATGCACATGTTATGAAATTTTAAAAAAATTTATATTCTACACAAAAATACATGTAATAAAAAAATAAAAAAGTATATTAACTTTTTTTAAGATTTGTTGAAAATATTAAAAATTTCACAATTTTAATATAATTACACTGTATTCTCATTTAATAAAATTAAAGAGATAAAACTTAATACAAATAGTATAAAAATATATATTTCAATACAAATAAGATAATATTTTTTTATTTATGCACTTAACGACTTTATAATACACAAGGACAAAATATTATATGAACCAAACCTTTAATGTTGACTTGTTACATTTTTGGATGTAATCTATCTTACCCAAACAAATATACATAAATTTCTTAATAAGACCAACTTTTATATTGTTATTTTTATTTTTATTTATTTGTCCACTAGTTTCACATCTCATTTTTTAAAGAGAAATTCTACTATATCAAACAAGCCCTCGACAGATCCCAAGTTATATCCCCAATTATATCAAACACAAAACTTAGCCTCCGTTTGGGAAGTGGGTTGGCTTTTTGGCTTTTTGACTTTTTTGGCTATTTTAGCCTGGGCTTAAAAGCTTGGTTTGGGAAAGGCTTTTTGACTTTTTGGCTTTTTTGAGTTTTTTTGTGAGAGAAAAATGTAATGATTATGGGTTGGATGTGATGTTTTGTTTGTTATGACTAAAATAGCTTATTTTGTTTTTTGTGGCTAAAATAGCCAAAAAAACTTGCAAACCCACTTGCCAAACACAGGCTTACCAATACTGACAATCCCTCCCCTCGAAGAAGATTCCCATTTGGACCCGGAAAATGTTTGGGACCTTTTTTTGAAATTTGGAGATGTTACTGTGCAATTCACACAACAGCACTTTTTGTGTGGCAAAATGGATTCATTTTGAGATTCGTTTTGATAATTTGAATCATTTATATTTTAGAATACATCAAGTAAAAAATATTTTAAAAAAATCAAGTTAATCGGATATCGTTTACCTATTTATCCACTCACATTTGTATTTATTTTAATACTTTAAATCACAATTATTATTTATATGAGTGGATGAATAGATAAACGATATTTGATTAACTTGATTTTTTATAGGTATGTTCTACTTGATGTATTTTAAAATGTGGACGGTTCGAATTATGAAAATAGGTCCCGAAATGGGTTACTTCGCCGTACAACACAGCCCGCATAGCAGTATCTCCAAATCCTCTTTTTGGGGATAACCCCCACACACCCAAAGCGATCTTACCCCTCCATATGTGTGGGACCCACTCATATATGTGTGAAATTTATATCATGAATAATTTATATTTATGAAAATCTTGAAAAATAAAAATCTCAATAATTGCTCTTCGACACCTCCACACTCCAACCTCCATTTTTGATATCAAAGCGCTCACTTCCTGTGAAATGCTCTCATAACATGCTCCTAAATTCACCAGAATCAGGAGGAGGAGGAGAATCAAACCCAGACCTCCCAAAACGTCACCGTTTGATTTTAATGTAAAAAAATGATGATCATTATGTTTGGTTTTAATTTTTTAAATTTAATTTTTTAGAAATTGAGTTTTTTATTTTTCATATTTTTTATTTTTAGCAAATATTTTTAAAATTTTGAGCAAATTTTTTATATATTTTTAAATGCATCTTATTCATAAAAAAATATTTTAAAAAATCAATAAATACACAAAAATATGAAAATTTACTATTTTTTTTATATTTTTAGTATTTAGTGAATTTTTTTAAATTTTTTTCATAAAGATTATACTTTTTAAGTGTATTTATGTTAGGTGTACGTAAAAATTACTTAAAATATTAAAAAAAATTTAGAGAAAACAAAAGAAATATGGAAAATAAAATTTTTTTAATTTTCTAAAAAGTGAAATCAAATAAGCTAAATATTATTTTTTTTATTTCTATAATTAACAAATTTCTAATAAAAAAAAATAAAGTGTTATATAACTAAACCTTTAACATTGACTTGTTATATTTTTCGATATATAGATTTCTTAAGAATAAGTCCAAATTAAAAAAATAATAATAATAAAATTCCCCCCGGGTCCACGTGTCATTTTTGAAAACTGCCGAAAATAGTACACATTTATTTTAACAGTAAAATCATCAGATACACACTAACCACACCATAAACCTGCAATGGACCCCGCGTTGACCAGTATCCATTCGCCACGTTCGCAAATCTCCCTAATTGCAATAAACACAAAAGTTTCCAATACTAGACAATCCCACCCCTCGAATAAGATTCCCATTTTGACACCTCCACACTCAAACCTCCATTTCTGAGATCCAAAGCTCTTTCTCTCTATAAAATGCTCTCATAGTGTACTCCCAAATTCACCACAACCAGAAGAAGAAGAAGAAGGAGAACCAAACCCAGACCCCCCCAAAACGTCACCGTTTCACCTCCTTCTTCTTCTTCTTCAATGGCGGACCAAACTGGGAAATCACAGAAATCAATCCCACCGTACGTGAAAGCCGTGGCGGGCTCGATCGGAGGGGTCATGGAGGCCTGTTGTTTACAGCCCATCGACGTTATCAAGACCCGCTTGCAGCTCGATCGGTCCGGAGCTTACAAGGGTATAGTCCACTGCGGCACCACCATAGTCCGTACGGAGGGCGTGCGAGCTCTGTGGAAGGGATTGACTCCGTTTGCGACTCACTTGACTCTGAAGTATGCGCTTCGGATGGGTTCGAATGCGGTGCTACAGAGCGCTTTCAAGGACTCGAATTCAGGGAATCTCAGCAACCAAGGGAGGTTTTTTGCTGGGTTCGGTGCTGGGGTTCTTGAAGCTCTCGTCATTGTCACTCCGTTTGAGGTTAGTCATTTGGTTATGAATTTGAAGTTTGATTCCAATTTGTTGTTGGGGTGTGCTTGGTTTTGGATTATTAGTAGAAATGTTTAGTGATTAAAATAGAATCAAGATTGGAAAATGTTTGAGACCCTCAAAATGTATCCACAATGTATGGTGAGCCCAACTCCTATACCACAAATGATGCGTGAATTTATGAATATAAATGTATGGGTCTTTAGCATTTTTATACTATCATTCTTTGGATGATCTTATATTTCAATTTGGACCATACTAACTCGTTTTTGTGCCTATTTTCTGGGGAATTTACAATTCAGTGATACATTCATAAAATAATTACACATTTATGGAAAAGTTTATAATTTTAATTATTAATGTTTATAACTGATTTGTAATTATTTTTAAAAAATTACACTGAATTGTTATATCACCCTTTTTTTTTAAACCTAATTTCCCTGTGCATAATCAAGTAGGTATGTGCTGCTTATAGATTTATTTTATTTTATTGTGACAGTATATGTCCGACTTTTTTATTTTATTAGACAGAAATAGTTTAAATAAACTTAAAGAAAAAAGTAAAAAAGAAAAAGAAAAGCTGATTATGAAGCTGGTGATGGGTGTTTGGCTTTTACTTTCTAATTATCAACTTTTTAGCTTACAATAACATGCACCAAACAGGCCTATGGTCAATTTGTCAGTTAAGTCATATGGTCATTAGTGCTGACTCATGGGTATTAGTGGTGATAAATGTGAAGTTCAAGTCAACCTGTTGAGATTTTTCTGTTTAATTTGAATGGTTCCTAGAAACTGATGATAATTGTATTTTGTTTAAATTATTACAAGTGTTTCTGTTGCTATAAGAAATTATTGTTAATTGAAGAAATTAAGATTTAAATAATTTGTTGGATGACTCATATTCTCAATATGACTTTATGGGTCAATTGTTTCTTTTTATTTATTTATTTATAATAATAGTGTGTCACTAACTACTAGGTGAATCTTAATATCAAATTTGTATATGAGAGAAAGTATAAAGTTAAAAGTGGGTTGAGCTTATGAACAGAATAGTTCTCCCAACCCCAAAATTCATTACTCTTCTTCCGCTTGATAGCCTCCTCGAGAAAGTTGAGAGTGGAGAGCTAGAAGAAAATGGAAAAGAAAAAAGTTGGTTTAATGTCAAAGAATGTTCTATTAAAAATTGAAAATGTAGGCTAACATCTATACTCTATACTCAAGTAGGAGAGGAATTAATTTGGTGAGGACGTTGAGGTAATGAATGTTTTGTTTGGGATTTTGTGTTTTGATTTCACAGTGTGAGATCTCTGACTGGATACTTAAACCATAAAGACATTTTAATATTATTGGTAGCTTTTTGTTGTTTGATTTTTGCCTTTGGACCCTACCTTATAGTGAACTCAAATGCATTGAATAACCACTCTATATTATTTTTAAAAAGGCTTAAGGATTAACGAAGGAAAGACATGTAAAAGGTGTATCGAACTGGTTTGGCCAAGGAGCTGCCTTACCTTAAGTAGCTATGATATTACTTAAGTTCCTAGATACCATTCGGACAGATTACTTAAACATCTCTCCTTACTTTTTTAAGTAGTATGGATATTTGTGGGCAAATATTTGAGTGAGCTTTATGTTTTTGGCTTTCTATGGTAGTATAGATATATCTTATTTTTCACCCCTCTTAACAAGGGATTGTATTTAAACCAAAATGTAGGAGTCTAATTTCTACTGAAGTTGGTATTTGAATTATGTTATCAAGTAGTCATCTTACTATCGAAGTGGGCACTCTTATACTATTCTCTTCCTGTCTTATTAGTAATTGTTTTGTGATTGAAATGAAATGTTCCATTACAGAGTTATCTGGACTTTCTTTCCTTTTGGGTCTTTCACAATTGAAGAAACTATAGTATATAATTTGCCCACTCCCTCCCAAAAATAAAAAATAAAAAAAGAACTAAACTAAATAAAGAAAAATAAAATAGAGAGAGAAAAGCATTTATGTACAAATGTAAGGTCTCGGTGTCCCACATCGGGAACGGAGAGGGAGTTCCTGGGCTATAATAGTAAAAACCTAAACCCTTATATATCATCGAGGCCTTTTCCCGGATGGTGAAATCCCTAAAAGAACTCCCCAGTTAAGCGTGCTTAGGCTAGAGTAGTTTTGGGATGGATGATCCACTGGGAAGAACAAATCCGTGCGGGCGTGGCTCAAAGTGGACAGTATCGATGACGTGTGAAGGGTTGGGGCGTTACAACAAACCTGTTACTTATATGGTAATCCCTTTGTGTTCTCCATTGGGCTACGATTTGGTTACTTATTCTTCTCCATATATTAGGCACTGCCATGACTGAACCCCAATACAACTTCAATTGTTTATGTGATTTTATGAGAAGAGGTATTTGGGCTTTTTGTTTATGCATTCACATTATGATAAGTGTGAACTTCTTTGACCAATATTAGTTCATTTTTTTTTTCCCCTCTTCATATTGGAAGCATGATCTTTTTCTTTTGTTAATACTTGTTAGTCAATTTCTTTGTGTGTATTACTTTGTAGCATTTGTCTTGGATATGTCATATTCTAATTTATTTTTCTCTTGCTTTGAACTATTTCAATTTCATGATTGGATAGTATTTTTGTAATGCAAAATTTCAAGATTTAGAAGGAAACCTTCTTTTTGGTCTTGCATGAAGTGTTTCATGTTTGGAGAAACTTGTAAATCTTCTTGTGTTGGATTTTCGACTATGCTACTCAGTATTGCACTTTTCGCAAAGTCCTAGGAGTGGTTTCCATAACAAGAGATGTTGTAAGAACCAAAATAAGCTGCTTCTGTGTACTATTTGGGCCTTGTATGGTGAAGAATAACAAGAGGAAAACATGGTGGGAGATATGCTTAAGAATTTGTCATAAGAAAGTTGTGGAGTATAATTTTGAATGGATCTCTAACCACGTGGGTTTGAAGGAGTAATTTTCTTCGTAAATTTGTTTGTTCTTTGCTACGAGGTATACTGTTTGAACAGGCAAAATCCAGTCTACCCGTTTGGGTTCATAGTAATTTCAAATGGGTAACTGATTCCGGGTCTATGGCATGGTCCACGGAGACTTTGCCAGCAAGTAGCTTCTTGTGTTGAAAAGACTTTTTTTCCGAATAACCTTCAAAGCTAACAAAATTTTTTGCTAAAATTTTTGGGTTACAAAAATTCTTTCTTCATATAGTATATGTATACCAAATTTCCAAACTTCATACCTACAGAAATTGGAAGTATTTTTGTCTGCTTAACAAAATGCATAGAAATTTGAAAGAATTTGTTGTTTTTTTGTTATTTTTTCATGTTTGTCTCAATCTCAATTCAACTTGCTGCCTAATGAAAAACGACGTTGGTTGCATTATTACATGAGACCATCATGTTCAATGTAGTTTATCTGGTTGTTGCAGATATATCTCTTCATTTCTGTGAAAAAAAATCCTGCTACGTGTTACAAGTGGTTTTTCCCGTATGTTCTTATTTTGTGCCAGTTAAATAATTGAACCACAGTTTTGTTTGGGTGCTAAAAATCTTCTTTAAGGTCAATTTGCATGGATTAGTTGCTTTAAAAACCTCTTAGGGTTTTTGTTCTGAACTAGAGCTATTGGTTTGGTACCTTGTTCACATGTTAAAGACAATATAATGGAATAATTTGACATTATAAGTAAACTATGCTTCAACTAGTTTGTGTTTGGGATAGTATTGTTCCTAATTTGTCACCACTGTATTGATTTGTATAATGAACTGTAACGATATCTTGCAGCACTCAAATGACAGGTGTTTTGGTTAGAGCTCTCTGGAGCTTTTATTTCGTTGACATTCACAACCCTACCACAGTTGTGAGACTTTATAAAATTGTGATAGCTAAGATTTGGCCAATTTTGATTTGTCCAGGTGGTGAAAATAAGACTGCAACAGCAGAGAGGATTGAGTCACGAGCTATTAAAGTACAAAGGCCCTGTACACTGTGCTCGTTTGATCATCCGTGAAGAAGGCATCCTCGGGCTCTGGGCTGGAGCTGCCCCAACTGTCATGCGCAATGGAACAAACCAAGCTGCAATGTTTTCAGCCAAGAATGCTTTCGACCGGCTCTTGTGGAAGAAACATGAAGGTGATGGGAAAGTCCTCCAACCGTGGCAGTCTATGATATCGGGATTTCTTGCAGGAACAGCCGGTCCCATCTGCACCGGCCCTTTTGATGTTGTGAAAACTAGGTTGATGGCCCAAAGCCGATCTGGAGGTGAGTTGAAGTATAAAGGGATGGTCCACGCTATCCCAACAATATATAGAGAAGAAGGGTTACGTGCGTTGTGGAAGGGACTGCTGCCTCGGCTTATGAGGATCCCACCTGGACAGGCCATCATGTGGGCAGTGGCTGACCAAGTAACTGGCTTGTATGAGAGGAAATACATACATAATGCACCCTTATAAGTACCGTTCACAATGTTTTGCTTATGTTAGATCCTAGTTTCATTGAACGTAAAGTCACATATGATTCTATTTGAATGGGAAATATTTTGAGCCAAAATTCCCAGTACAATACATTCTTGTGCCGACCAGTCTGGTTTTACTGGCAAAAAATCATGTGTCACCCGCCAGCAATGCCATTTTTGTTGATTTTGTAATGATCATTTTTTTTTATTAGGTTTTTCAGTACCCTAACATGTTGTTAGGGACTAAATCACTTTAATTTCTTTGGGCTGTGATGCCATTTTTGTTGATTTGTGCTATGATAAAAGTTCTAGGCTCTGTTTGGTAAGACTTTCTAACTAAGATTTGAGAATATGAGTTGTATTTTGAGTTTGTGTGTTTTGAAATTATGATTTGAGTGTAAAAAATTTGTTTGGTTATGATTTTTGAATAGAGTGTTGAATTGAGTTTTGGATTGAATGTGAAATTGAGTTTTGAAAGTTTGATTTGACATGTGAAGTAAGAAAATTTGTTTGATTACGAGTTTTAGAAAAAGTTTTCAAAACTTAATTCAAATTGTTATAACTCATAATAAAACACACTATTTTTACACTATTGAAAATTCTAATCAACACTCATAACTAAACTTTTTTTAAAATTCAATTAAAAAAAATTATTATTAATAGAAAATAATATTAATCAATTTTTTAATTGAAAATAATAAATTTTTTTCAAAATAAATATTCAAAAAATTTAAATCATAAATATTTAAATAATTTAAATAATCTAAAAAATTTAATAAGCAAAAAATTAAAATAAATATTCGAAAAATTTAAATCGTAAAAATTTAAATATTCAAAAAATTTAAATAATTTAAAATTTTAATATTTTAAATTTAAAAACAACTCTACACTCAAATAGTAACCAAACACATAAAACAAAACTTAATTAAGAAATTATTTTTAAAACTCACAACCAAACACATAACTCGAAACTCCATACTATTTTCACAACTCTACACTCAAATCGTAACCAAATACATAACAAAAAAATTAAAATATTTAAAAATATTTTTATAAAATAGAGTTTGAATTTATTTTTATAAAATATTTAAAATTTAAAAAATTAAAATCGTAATATTTTGAAATTAAAATATTTAAAAACATTCAAAAAATTAAAAAATTAAAAAAATCGTAACATATTTAAATATTAAAATATTTAAAATCTTAACAAAATTAAAATATTGATTTGAATTGAGTTTTGAAAAGAGTTTTGAATTATGTGTTTGGTTATGAGTTTTGAAAAGTAATAATTATGTTTTGAATTGAGTTTTGAAAAATGGGTGTAGAATTATGATTTGAAAGCTCAAAACAAATATCATACTCAAATCAATGAGTGAAACTATAATTTGAGAGGCTTACCAAATGGATCCCTAGGTTTTTCAGAATCTTAAACCTATTGCTGAGGACTAATTTGGGAAGGCCTCTTCAGGCTATATGAGCCACATGCGACAAAAGAGCCTCATTTAGCCACATGACGGCAAAAATGCTTGCTAGGGTTTGAGAGGAACCCTTCTACGGGTAAATTGACCAAATTCCCTCATATCTCCTTCTGATTCATTTCGAAAAAACGCCTCACCACACACACACAACAGAACCGTCCTAGGGCACGGAAGAAGCGAACGAGGCGATCTCTCCCAACCAGCGGCAATGACATCAAAATACGGCTTCACAGAGGCGATCGACACTGGAGTACGCATCTGGCGGCGGAGAACAGGAACGAACCCTTTGTGATACACCACCGATTAACTGGTAACTCTTCCAAACCCTTCTGATTTCGTAGATCTGTGTGAGTGTGTGTTGCCTCTGCTTAGGGTTCATGTCTACAATCCATTTCTCTGCATACAAGGTTATGATTTGAAAAAAATTGTATGGATATTTGGGGACTCTCTGTTTTAAAAAAATTTCAAATTTTTTTAGTTCAGGCTGGGTTCATTACAATTTGGGTTCATTACCGACCTGTTGAAGTGCATTTTGTTTTGGTTGGGTTCACACATTTTGGGCACAGATATATATATATATATACATATATTTGTTCTTATATATAAATTTATATTTCTGTGAGTAATGAGGGCCGGTATACGTTCATAGGTGGTTGAGATCCGTTAAACATGAAAGTTCTTCCTCTCTGATTTTTGGTTTTGCAATGATCATTAAATGTATGGAAAATTTCAGCTAAAAATTCAGAATGTTAGGAATTCATTAGGTGAATGAAATATTTACACATTGCTCCATTGCTAACTCCTAACCCATTTTCCAAATCAATCCTCAACATAACTCTGTGAAGAAGGCCGTGTTATGGTTAATGCATATCTGATTCTGCTAAAACACTCTGATGAAACACTCTGATTATTGTCAATGCATTTCGAATGTTACGAATTCAGTACCTGAATGAATTCTTATTTATCAAATTCATGTATACATAAATTCCACAGCTAGTCTCTACCCAGTTGTTGTTCATATTGTGAATGACCACTGCGAATGCATGTCTGATTCTGTGAAATACCTATTGACTTGTCATGAAATCACGAGTTTATGTTACGAAATTTTATTACCAAACAAGTATGTCCATTTTTCATGTGCATGTCAATTCTGTTATACTTTCATCTCCAATGTGTTTAAAATTAAGTTCAATCTTGCATGTTATATATATTTTTTCAGTATTGTCAAACACTTGAGTCAAACAACTGACAATAATAAAACATATTTTACTAGTATAGTAATAATAATGTGCATAATTATAATAAAATGCCATGGTTACAACATAACTCTGTGCAAGTGCATATGGGTCGGTAACTACTCCTACCAATATACTACTGATTGAAGATGCACAATACCCTTATCATAATTCAATGTCCATGATCGGAATTAAAAATTAAATACCGTTTCTCTTTGTACGTTTTGTTGTTGATTCATGTAAATTAATAAAAAATGCCGATTGTTGTCATGGCGTAGCATGGCTTCGTTTACCTCTACTGCAACTTCCAGTACATGGCCACGGATGTGTGCCTGTGGACATGGCCCCTGTGTTGTTAAGATTTCTAGGTCCACCAAAAATCCAGAGCGTGCCTACTTTGCATGTCCCCGTCCTTTGGTGAGTGACCCATTCTTTTAGGTCATAACTGTCCTTCTTTAACAATCCATGAAACTAATAGTTCCATAATTTGCACTCATCAGCCCTGTGTCAGTTGGATTGGTTGGTGCGATGAACCCAGGTGAGATAACCAAGACTATGCGTCACCCAGGGATGAATTTGTCATGCAATTGCGGGCTGATGTCATAGACATTCAATAATCCTTGCGTGTCCTTAAGACCATCGTGTATGTGCTATGCATTGTCGTTGTCGTTTTGTTGTTCCGTATGTAAGCAACGTTACGATGTTTCAGTATGTACAAACACGTTACTATATTGGTTGTTTATTGGTAGTATGTACAATAATATGACTTTAAGCTTCCACAGGCTTCCTCCACTTCGAAATGGTAGACGTATTAATGACTGTCATAACTATGTGCACTACTAGCTTCCATGGAACCTGTGGTAGTATAAAATTAATGTGCAATGGTTATGTGCTGGGTAATTTAGCATCCTATCTCTCTGTTTCTTTGTTATTAATATGTAATGGCTTACGTCTTTGTATATAGTATGTGTGATGGTAATCTTTTGTAACCGTACATTAGTAATGGCTTCCATACGTACTTCCCGCGTACCCAATCCAAAAGCAAAGGCATTGTCACTGACAAGTCAAGCAGTCTTGAAGATACACATAATCATTTAAGCCACAAGGCCACATGGGACAGTGCCTCAATCTAAGTTTTCCTGCAGTTGATTGCAAATGAGATAACTAAAGGCAATCGCCCATTCCTAGTCCTCAGCCAAGCAGGGTACAAGTCCTTGGCATGAAAATTTGAGAGAAAAACATGAAGAAAACATGGACTCAAACAGTTGAAGAATAAGTACATGCGTTTGAAAAAAGACTGGCAAGCGTGGACAAAGTTGATGGATTCAAGCAAAGGAGTGTCAGGGATAAGGTTTGACTGTGACACCGGTATGTTTCAGGCACCTGAGGAGTGGTGGGACAAGATAGAATCGTTAAGTACATGTACTCTTATGTTTCGTATGTGTCATTTACCAGTACATTTTTTATTTTTGTAGTTAAATTTTAATTAATTATATGAAATGTAACGTCATTCTCTTTCATATATCTCTATTTCAATAGATAAACAAGGAGTGTGCCAAGTTTAGGAAAAAAACCTTGGAACATCGTGAGTTGATGGAGACCGTCTTCATGGGGGCATCAGCTACTGGTAAGCACCATTGGACCCCGGCGCGAGAAACTTCTTGAGGCTGCTGATGACTCATCTAATTCAGTGCACAGTTTGGGAGCCCAGCCATTTGCTGTTCCGATACCCGCAGGAGTGCAGGACGTGGATTCAGATTCTTCATTGGAGCATGTTCCGATTGAAAAGGGAAAAAAGAGAAAGACGCCATCAAGCAGTGTTTCAAAGTCCAAGAAGGCAACAAGTGGAGCGTTAGTTATTGCGAAAAGCATGAACACTCTAACAGATGTGGTGCGAACGAAGAATCAGTAGGTTATATTGAGGCACCTCACAGGCAACGAATCACTGTTTACTATTTCGGAGTGCATGCATCGCCTGACAGGTATTACATCGCTGGTTGGTACGCCGTTATTCCACTTCGCCTCGACACTTATGGATAACGCCGATTTGCGGGAGGTGATGATGTGCCAGCCTGATGACGACTCTATCATAGAGTGGCTTACCCAGAAGCAGCTCCAGTGTACTGCGTTGGCGCCTTTCGCAAATCTATTCGGGGCTTGCCGGATGTGATATATCGGTGTTACGAGTGTTGAAGATGCATTTCCTTCTCTTGCATTCTAAAAACTTTTACTTATTAATTTGTTGGCACTGTATTAAAACGAGATGGTTGTGTGTGCATGTTTTTTTTTCCCTTCGTTTTTGTTTTTTCTTGCTACCTATGGTTTCCAAAACTTGTAGTTTAGTGCATGGGTTGACACAATGGAAGCATGGTTGTGCACGCTTTCTGAGAAATGAATGGGATGCTTCTGTTCAAATTAAATGTATGGATATTTTCGAGAAAGGCAACAACGGTTTTGCTTGCTAGCTTTGTGTATGTTTATATTTTGCAAAGTTCGTTGTTAGTTTCATATTTGACGTCAACTTTTGTGGTTGTCACCACCATGGTTCCCCTGTAAATTCAAGTTTAGCAGGTTTACAATTTTTCCATTTTCATATCATTATGTGTGAAAAATCTACAAGTTTAGCAGTCCTTAAATTATTATCAACATTTTAAATTTTGTAATTGCACAT